CCTGCATTGTTTCTGCCGAGAGATCTGATGTTAGCCTCATGGGATGACCTTTGTAATTAGCTTGACGTTTCCTTCTTGCCAACTTTAGTATCTTGTCTTTGTCTGTTGTTTTTTGCCAGTCTGGCTTTGGAGAGGATCTTCTTCATTTGTTTCTACTCGGGGTCCTATGTATTTCTTGGGTCTGGATATTTGAATGCCTTTCTAGGTTTGGAAAGTTTTCTTCCAGGATTTCATGGAATATTATCTAGGCCCTTATTATTTTCTTCCTCTTCTGGAATACCAATTATCCGGATGTTGGGGCGCTCGATGGTGTCCAGTATTCCTCGTATATTATCCTCATTTTTCATGGTTGTTTTCTCAATCTTCTTCATACTTTTTTCTAGGTCAGATGTTTTGTCTTCTACGTTAGAAATTTGATCTTCTGCCTGGTCTAACCTACTTTTAATACTTTCAAGGGAGATTTTGATTTCCTGTATTGCATTCTTCAACCCTAGAAGTCTCATCTGGTTCTTGTTTAGGGTATCTATTTCTTCTTTAAAATTATAAATGGACTTCCTCATCTCCTGGAGCTCCTTGTCTCTTTTCTCTTCCATCTCAGTTAGTTTGACCACTGCAAATATTTTGAATTCCTTATCAGACATGTCCACGACATCCATTGTATTGACTGTGGGTGATGTAGACTTAATGATTTCTCTTGGTTGAGAGGCCTTTTGTTGGTTGCTCATACTTCTTGAGACTCTGTGATTTTTCTTAGGCATCAGGTGATCTATATGTTGCTTCTTAACTTATTTAAGGTATCTCTGAGTGTTAAAAGGTGTACAGGATTAGAAATTGGATTATTTTTCTTATAGTTGCCCTACCTGTTGCTCACCAGTACTATGTACTGTTATCACTGGTGCTGGGTGACCCAAAGTCCTCCCTGTTTCTGAGGAGTGGTGAGCCTCCAACTGACCTAATAAGCAACACCTCAAGAGCAAAGAAAAAAAGGAGAAAAAAGACATTGTGTGGTGTGCAACACATGCTAAGTGCTATTCCAAACAGTAAAATTCAGAAAGTCCTAAGGAAAGTTGGGAAGGGGCAGAGGATGAGCGACGGGTCCCGGCCATAAAGGTCTGTATCTGTAGGCAGCCTGGTGTCCAGAACTGCTCACTGGCTTAAACCAGTTAGTAGGTGGGGTGGGGTGGTTGTGAATTTGTCTTAAAGTCCCAAGAAACCAACCTGAAGTCCAGAGATGAGCAGGGTTGGGGATGCGTGTTAGTCCTGGCTGTAAGGGCCTGCAGCCTCAGGCAGCCTGGTGTCTGGAATTGCTCGCTGGTTTGAACCTTGAACCAGTTAGTAGATGGGGTGGGGAGGGGGTTGCGAGTTTTTCTTAAAGTCACAAGGAACCAACCTGAAGTCCAGAGATGAGTAGGGGTGGGGATGCATTGGTTCCAGCTGTAAGGGCCTGAAGCCGCAGGCAGCCTCCTTTGTGAAAAATTCTGAGGCAAAAGGAAGAGTTAAAATGCTCCCATAATGAAGGACAGCAAAAGGCATAATGGACTCTCAGATGGTTGACAGTGGTTCAAGACCTGACCCAGTAGTTTAAAACTCACACTGTTCAAGATCCTAAGAGTAGAATGGAGAAGAAGGGATATAGCATGGTTATCCCCCCTTGGGGACAATTTCTTGCTTTCTGTCTCTCTTTCTCTCTCTGTCTCTGCAGTGAGTCCATGAACCCTATAGCAAACATTTCTCTAAAATAAAACAATCAAAAATAGAATGTTCCGTAGGAAAATCAAGATAAAAGAACACTATGACTTGTGTTCTGCTCCTAGCTTGACTTGCTATCTCCATTTTATGAGATTTCTTTCCACCTCCCACCCCCAACAATATGAAATTAAGATAGCTCAGTTCACAGTATTAGTGATTAAGGACATGGCAAAGCACTCTGGAAAGTTCAGGAGAAGGGGCCCAAACTTTGCAGCTATCCTCTACCTTACAGCTCCTGGCTGCAGGAAAGCCTTCTGACCCTAATTCCCTCTTGTCATAGCAACATTTACAGTAACCACATTCTGGGACTGGACCACTGAAGTGGATGACTACTCCGGGGAGTCCAGTGCTGAAAAAGGTAAGGACAATGTCAGGACTTATATTCTTTTTCATCTTGGCTTGGAGATTTGTGAATGAAACTTTCTACTATATGCACACATTTAGCTCTGCAAATCGTTGCCTGATACATGCTAGGCAATGTTCAATGGCCCTGAAGATGAATGAATGGTTGAGATGGAGAGGAAAAAATACATATCTAAGAATAAGCAAAGTCAAAGTAAAATTCATGAGAATGCTAGTTTTATCGTATTTTCTGTTGCCATATAAATATATCTCCCAAACACTCTGAACAAGAAGACCAAAACTGAATGACTGAAGGATATAAAAACACAGTAAATGGTTGTGAATACCAGATATAGTGTGGGAAGAGGGCAGGTGAAGGAGTACAGTCAGAGGAAGAACATTAAGGAGAAAAGGCAAAGCATTTATGGGACAAAGAAATGGGTTAATATATGTTGAAGATAACTTTATAGTTTTGTCAACTGGACTGGTGAGAAATTTACATATGTTGAAACATTCACTTTGCAAGCTAAATAACATGATTGAATGTATAAAATAAATTGAAATAAAATTTTAAAAATACATTTAAAAAAAGAATGGGGATAGGACCAGCTCTCCTAGGGAGATGGGAGGATTAGGCCAGGTAAGGATAATGGCAATACCTCATTACCTGAGCTCATAACTAGGGCTCTCTAATAAGCTTGCAGCTGAATTCTGATTTCTGCAAAGTCGCAAGGATCCCCAAATCAGGATCTGAGAGATCCAAATCCCATTTTTTTTGTGTTTCACCTGGAGTTGATATGCACTGACATAACTGCATGACTTATTAAAATACTGTAATACTTTTATATCAATTGGTAATTAACTATATGCTTTAACCCCTGAAATCCTCATTATTACCTATGTTGGCAGAACTCTCCAGATCACCCACAGTCCTTCAACAAATGTGTTAGTGTCTGTATACTGGAAAACCTCTAAGACTACAGGTTTATAAAAGGCATCTGGGGTTTTTTGTGTTTTTGTTTTTTGTTTGGTTTCAAAAGTGCATTCTTACCAGAGAAACACAGAGGGAGAGAGAGAAAGCACCTTCCAATGGGATATAGTCATGCCACAATTCCTTTTCCTCCATTTCTCCAACTTGTCAAGATTTAGAGCATGCACGCACATGTATCTAGTGTGTTTTTCAAGCTACCAGAGCTGGTATTCTAACCGTGATTAGCAATATGAGCAAAAACTTTTTCTAATCCTAATCACCTAAACAAAATAAATCTTGCACTTCTGGAGCTCAGAAGTCTAACACAGTTATCACTCAGCTAAAGTCAAGATATCAGCAGGGCTTTGTTCCTTCTGAGGTCTTTGAGGAAGAATTCATTTCCTTCTTTTTTTCCAGCTTCTAGAAGCTACCCACATTCCTTAGCTTATGGCCTTCTCTCATTGTTTTCAAAACTAGCAATATAACATCCTCAGATTTCCCTTTGACTTTGACCTTCTCTTCTGTGTCCCCCTTCCGCTTTTAAAAGGCCATTGTAATTGCAATGAACACGCTCCAATAGTTTTGGTTAATTTCCAACATCTCAATGCCAGCTAATTATCAACCTTAATTCTTTAGGCAACCTTAATTTCTCCTTACAATGTAAACCAACATATTTACAACTTCCAGAAATTTAGATGTAAACATTTTTTGAGTACCATTATTCTGTTTGTCATACTCTTATAGCAAGCAAATAACAGATACAAGACTGGAAGCCCAGTCTAATGAATTCCTTCAGCTTTTTAGACATGATAGGGGTATAAAAACTCTAGGTAGCTCAGTAAAAATATGTTTTGAGAAAGGAAATTGGGAACATGGCCAGAAAGTGAGAGGGGAAGAATCTTTGTGGCTATAAGTAACCAGCCAGAATCTCAATAAGATTGCATTTTACTGAAGCTGGGAAGTGTTTCCCTGAGAAATAAGTAGCACTTCTTTATTAGGGACAGTAGTACTTCTGTCTTGGCCCCTCATAAAGCTCAAATGTTCAAGTCAGTCAGCCATCAACCAATGGGTCTAGAAGAACTTGTTTAGACATGTCATCTCTAACCTTTACTAAGTCTTTTTCATGTACCTGGAGTTTTGTCTCTCTGTCTAGGAAAGATTAGAAGATGAAAAATTAGAAAGAAAGAAACCTGGACTGTACTTTGGACTTTCTGTTTCTGGTCTTTTTAAAAATTTTTTAGAAATAATTATTTATTTATTTTTATTCATTATTATTATTTTAATTTGATCAGAGTGAGACAAAGAGAGAGAGAAAGTGAGAAAGCAAGCCAGCTGGTCTAGGCCTCAAACTGCAGTCAGTTATATGGGAGTCTAGCACCTCAACCACCATGCCACCTACTGACCCCTCTGGTCTTATATTTAACCAGATACCACTTGATTTTGTTTTTCCTTTTAGGAAAGGGCCTGCCTATCTTTGCCATCATCCTTATCATTTCCTTGTGTTGTATGGTGGTGTTCACCATGGCTTATATCATGTTCTTCCGGAAGACATCCCAACAGGGTAAGTAATGAGTATGGCAGATGGCTTTTGTTCAGTTATTCTAACAATATATCAAAGCTTAAACACTGTATCATGCACCAGTATAGGCACTTCAAGGAACTCTAAGTGTAATTTGAGAGTGAGGGTAGAAGATAGAGGGAGACAAAACATTCAAGCTAATAATGACATAAAAATTATGAAAGTAAATTCACAATTTTTTGTATGCCTGTGTGAAAAGCCAAGTACATCCATCCTTTTAATGAGTTAACTGCATAAGGATGCAATAGAAGGAGAAGTCGTAGTCCCTGACCTCAAGTTGCTTATAATTTATTTGAGAGATTCAAAGTAGAAGCATGGTGTATATCAATATATAGCAATAAGGACTATGGACCCAAAACCTAGAGGAGACAAGCAATGCTAAAGAGATCCAGAGGAGAGTAAATTAGGGCTGGGCTATTAATCAAAGGCTTTCAGAAAAAGGTGGAACTTAGATCAGGTCTTAGAGGATGAAAACTATGAGTAAGAGAAGAATGTTATAAGAAGAAGAAACTATATGAAAAAAAAACCTAAAAGAATTCAAAATTGGTTCACCAATAAAGGAAATTTATATAGATAAGCAATGTGAATAAAAGGGAAAATAAAAGTTATTTTCTGGTTATAGAAGGCCTTGAATACTAGGCTAATGAATTTGGACTATTCCTCACTATGTCTTGCAAGATGCACTAAAAGTAACAAAATGTTTTGTGCAGAGAAGTGACATGACAAAGGCACATTTGTTGGAGCCATTTAACAATTATGAAACAACAGAAGAGACCACAGAATTGAGATGTTTGCTGCTAAGAAAAAACTAGCTATATGTCAATGCCCATTGCACCAGTCATTTTGCCTAGCATTGACTTGTTTCTCTTTCTCTAACATCTATTCCAATAGCTTAGTTTCCACCATGGATCTGTCTAACAAAAGAGAATCAACCTTTGACTATCTCCTTCTCCGGGGTCTCGAGTATAAGCTTAGCCTTGATCAATTAGCATGGCTATGACCCATGAGGCTAAATTTAGAAGTGGAGCTAACTCAAATGGCCACTACCCCCAGATATTAAAAGGAAGACATTCATTATAATCTTGATGAGGCTAGGTAGAAATAGAAATCACGTTATATTGTTTCCCTCTCAAAAACTTTCCATGGTTCCTCATGGCCTAGGGGATAGTAGCCAAATTATAGTATTTCATTTAGACCCCTCTCCAATGTGGCTCTAGCTTATATTCTCAACCCCTACCGCTCTCTTATACTTATTCTTATTCCCAGTCACTGTAATCAAACAAGCAAATAGGCCTTACATGTCAAACTTTTATGCTTTTTCCTTGCCTGGGTTGCCTTCCCAGATTTTCTGTTTTCTATCTCTCCTTAATGGAAACATCCTCAGAACACCAATTCAATTTAACATGTGGTTTCTGAGTGTTTACTCCATGCCATGAGTGGGGCATATAAAGATTGAAAAGACACAACCCTTGCACTACAGGAGCTCTTGGTCTAGTTGGAAGGTTTGACAAAGAAATAAAGGGCTCTACCACAAGGCAGAAGACCTGTGTCTTGCCCTGTTTACTTTGCTTCAATATAACATATGCATTTTCAGTTACATCCCTGAAAGATTATAAGCAGTTAGAGGGCAGTACAAAGAGACAGCTACTTTTTTTTTTTTTTTTTTTTTTTTTTCAGCAAACTAAGCCCTTGCACTTGTATGGAATATAGGATACTTCTCCTCCACTGACACTAGAGAGCAATGGTGAACCATTCCAGGGCCTTTCCTGAGAATAGGGTGGGGCAGAGTGCATTTTGGAGAGGCTTGGGCCATTGTTCCTGGCATCAGACCAATGTGGCCTCTTTTTCCTGGTCTCTGGACTAGCTGTCAAATTATCCTCAAGGACTCTGGGAATATTTGGTAGGATTTTTGGGTAGAGAGTGGGTTCAATTCCAGTACCCTTCCTCCACTCATACCAAGCAACCACTCCAGTACAATATGCTGAGTCAAAGATATCAAAGAAGACAGTGACCAGGTGTGCTTCCTCTTACTTTCCCTGATAAATCTGAATCCCTGTATTTCAGTTCATCTTCCTAACCAATACCTCCCAGCTGTTAGAAAACTGAGACATATTGGAATCCTCCCTCAATGCTACCATATTAAAATGAAAAGCCATGCTCTCTGACACCCTCCTTCATTTTTTGACTGGTACCCAGTGTCTATGCTTGGCCCTTGTCCACTCCCCATGGAAATTTCTAACCAGATTCCTCCTTTTTTTCTAGAGCGTGTCTATGAAGTGGCCAGGGAAGCTAGCCCTTGATCTTCTCTCTTTT